TTATTTTTTTGAGCTAAACCGTTAGACAGTACCATTAAATTAAGTTAGTATTAGAATAGTATTTTAATACTGTGCTGTGATAATCATTATAGTTAAAAATAATAATGTATCAGATTTAAAACATTAACATAAACTTTAAGCCATTTTATATGGTCCTGGCTGCTTTTTAAAGCTTCTGTTTATAATTCATTATTTGTATAATTCAGTTTAATAGAAAAATCAAAGTTTGGTAATACTATTTTGTTCTCGAGATAAGAACCTTGCTAATTGAAAAGTAACTAGTTTATCATTTTACAGAAAAAAAGGTATTTGATGTATTTGGTGCAAAAAATATATTTTTAGGTTTGAAACTTTAAAGATTTAAATAAACTAGGTGACAAATTTTCTTTACATTTAAACATTAGGGATAAAATATTAAAAACATGATACACATATAAAACATGCATTTTTTTAAAGTAATTTTTTTTTTCAAATAATCAAGGGGCCTATTATATTATTTAGATCTTATTTATTGCTTGACTCTTTATTCTGCAAAGTCTTATTCGTTTACTATATCTGTCCCTGCAGGTTAAAAACTTTTATTAGTCTAGTTTTTTCCCTACATTTTAACCCTTCAAAACTCTCTCCCATCTTCATGTTTTCTTGTCTCATACAACCTACAACTTATCAAGCCTTCTGCCAACCATTTCCTTGTTCTATAACTGTATTCTTTTTTTCTCTAGTAACTTCAAACTTAATAGTAGTTGCTTGCAGCCTTGTTGAAAGTGAATCAGAACAAAAATTAAAAAAATCAGAAAATTGCTTTATTAGAGTATGTACCCCTTTAGCATCTCTAAATATCGAATTAAAAATAATTTAATTTTTTATATCACTATGTAACTGTTTTTTTTTTGTTTTTTTTTTAACATCCTCACTTCCAACAAGGTTGAAAGCAACCACTATTAGAGTTGGAAGTTACTGGAAATGAAAAAGTGAAGTTTATAGAGCAAGACAATTATTAACAATCAATTAATCATTTATTTCTGAATCAATGTTTTACATTCAAGGATGTTTACAAATAGTAAAAATACTAATATAAAGTAAACACCTACTAATGTTAATAATATCTAATTAAAATAAATATAACGCTAATTTTCACAATATATAGTAACGATAATAAACTTTATAACATAAAATAACGATGTAATATAAATAACGATGTTATAACAATAATAACAAAAACAATAATATTAACAATAATAATAATAATAATAACAATAATAACAATAATATTAGTATTAGTATTAATAAAAATTAAAAGTAGTTATCAATAGTAAATATTAGTAAAAATAACAAAATAACAATAATCAATAAAAAATACAGAATAGAAATTGTAATATATATATATATATATATATATATATATATATATATATATATATATATATATATATATATATATATATATATATATATATATATATATATATATATATTAGGACAACAAAAATTGATTATAGAAATTATAAACATATTTTTTAAATAAAAAGTAGAATAAACTGGTTTTAAAGGTTGAGAATGAATTGAGAGCTTTTAGTTCATAAGGAAGGTTGTTCCAAGTTTTAGTGCTTTGATATTTTATGGATTTATGCCCGTAATTATGAGAGGGGTGTTTAGAGATAGACAGGTTTAAATTACTATCGGAACGAAGGTGATAACGATTGTTGGCACTTTTGGAAAAAAAATTAATGAAAGGTAGGTTATTGTGTTGGTGGTTCCAGACAAATTGACAGTTAAATATAGTCACATAGTTTTAATACTTTAGAAGTTAGGTAGAGCACGTTAGGGTTAAATTTAATATTCTGAAAATGAATAATTTTTAAAGCCTTGTTTTGGAATTGGGATAACCTAATAAGAACTTGTTGATGGGACTGTCGCCATACTTGGCATGCATATCTAAGATGTGAGCCAAAAATAGCATGGTATATCTTCAAGAGTGTCGCAAAATTAACATAATGGCAAATTTTGGCCAACATACCATTAGATCTACTTAGTTTCATTGCTAAGTCTTTACAGTGGGATAAAAAGGAAAGATTTGAATCGATTTTTATACCAAGATATTTAATTGAGTTAACAGGTTCAATTTTTTTTGCCACTTAATGTAAAGTTCATGTTTATAGATTTTTGTTTTATTTCATTTAAAGATAATGAGTTCAGTTTTATTAGAGTTTAGAAAAAGTTTGTTGGAGTGAAGCCATTGTACTAGATTGTCAAGATCATGGTTAATGTGTTTATTAATTAGTTATTAAGTTACTATCAAGCACATTTATTTCACCATATGAACAACCATATGTACTGATGGCAAGCCAATGGTAATCCCCATTATATATAATTTGTACAAATGGTAAAGAACCAATAACATCAAACTTTAATAATTGTCCCAATATGGGATCTTGAAGTCCATTTGCATAAGGGTTAGCTTTCTTTAACATATCTTGAAAACATTTAATAACTGTATCAGATAACATTCGATTTTTCGAAATGTCTTCAAAATCTTCTTGTGAAAGTAAAGAATAATTTCTTTCAAATAAAACTGATTTTCCTAAATAATAATTTGTAAAAGAATTTGTTTGAAAAGTTTCTTCACCAGTTATTTGATCTATAGTGATAATTGATTCCTGCACTGGTGCTTCATAAAAATTACTTTCAATTTTTATTATAGAGGCTACCATCAACTTGTCTTTTTTTTCACCCACACGACTGGAATACAAATTTTTTTTAACAACAGGTAAATCAACTATATTTTTTTGTTTTTTGTGTACATATTCAGGCATACCATAACCTGAGCTTAATGGTAGACCTTTCTCTTTTTTTCTTGCTTGATAAAGCTTTTTAAGTACATTTGAAAGTGTTTCATGTAGATCAGATAGTTTTTCTGATGATTCATCAAAATCAAATGTTAAATTTTTTATGGTTGCTAGCATTTCACAGAATTCAGAGGCTGTAGAACTTCTTTTTCTTGTAATATCTCTGTATGGATTTATCGTTGTTGTACTGCAAATAGTGTCATTAATTAAGTTGAAACTATTATGATTCACATGGTTACACATTTGTAATGCAAACATGCCAAAATGTTCAACATGGTTGAACATTTTGGCATGTTCTTCTCATCGCCAAAGTTAACAAGGTAATTTTTGTTTGCAATAGAAAAGCTATTGACTACAAATACTCCAGGATCTTTCATTTGCACTTTATTTAGATCAGTGTTGTTAGCCAAATTTTGCTTCGCTAAACAATGTTTAATAAAATGGTGTGGCCTATTTATCAAGTATTCAGGTACATTAGAATTGTATTGTTTAAATCGACAATCTATTTTGTAATTAGATTCTGAATATCTTAAAAAATAAGTAAAAATGAATTAACTAATATACTAAGGTACTTCAAACTAGTACATTACCACAAATCTGGAAAGATGCAAATATCATTCCAATTTTCAAAAAAGGAGACAAGAAACTAGTTACCAACTATAGACCCATTAGTTTAACATGCACTATAGTCAAAATATTTGAAAAAATAATACAAAAACATATTTTTATTCATCTTTTAAAAAATAATCTACTAACTCCTAGTCAACACGGTTTTTATCCAGGGCGCTCTTGTGAAACAAATCTTCTTACTGTAATCAATACATGGACACTTAATTTAGATAAAGGTCTTCCCGTCGATAATATTTACCTTGACTTTGAAAAAGCATTTGACAAAGTCCCACACGACTATCTTCTTTTGAAACTAAAAGCCTATGGGATTAATGGTCCAATTCTCTCTTGGATAAGAAACTTTCTCACAAATCGAAGACAAAGAGTAATGATAAATGGTAATTACTCTGATTGGGTATCAGTAAAAAGTGGAGTTCCCCAAGGTTCTGTTCTCTCAGCTCTTTTATTCATTATATACGTTAACGATATTCCCAATATAATTACTTCAAATGCAGCACTTTTTGCTGACGATACAAAAATATTTTACCCTATTACTAATTTGCATTCACACACCGTACTTCAAAATGATATTGATATCTTGGTTGACTGGGCAACTAAATGGGGGATGAAATTTAATATAGAAAAATGTTCAGTTTTACACCTAGGTCATAAAAATAAACATCTTGTCTATTCTATGTACGATCCAGTGAAGAAAACAAGGATTGATATCAAATCTACCAACTCAGAAACTGACCTCGGAGTACATATCGATAATAACTTGCTATTTTCTAAACATACCTCTACTCAAATTAATAGGGCAATGCAGATGCTATTTCTAATAAAAAGATCTTTCTCTTATCTAAATTCATTTTGTTTTAAAAGACTGTTTTCAGCATTAGTACGACCATATTTAGAATATTGTGGTTCTGTATATAACCCTCGTCTACTGAAAGACAAACGACAAGTTGAAAATATACTCAGAAGAGCATCTAAATCAGTTCATGGATTAAAAAGTCTAACATATCACCAAAGACTATTGAAACTTAATATGACAACCATAAGATACAGACTAATCCGGGCTGATTTAATAAACGTCTATAAATGGCTAAACAACTACTACAACTGTCAAACGATCTTTCCAAAAACAATTATAAATTCTATTACAAGAGGACATTCATTTAAACTAGAAAAACCTTATTCTCGTCTAGCTTCTCGTCAATACTTTTTCACCTTACGAGTAATCAACAAATGGAACTCCCTCCCAGATGACGTTGTAAATGCTACTTCCGTAAGCAATTTTAAAAACAAACTCGACAATTATCTAAAAGAAGAAAAAACAATTTATGACTAGTATATTTATATAGTAATCATAAGACAGGTTGACAGGCATTTCATGCCTATACAAATCCAATTTGTAAACCTTAATAATAATAATAATAATAATAATATATATATATATATATATATATATATATATATATATATATATATATATATATATATATACACATATAAATATATTTATATATATAAACACAAAAAAAAAAAATAATAATATAAACTTCTTCAAATCAGGCTACAATAAAACTTTTTAATATACTTCTCAAATTTATTTGCAAAAAACTCTTCTATTAAAAGAGTAAGCATTCCAGTAATTGATGAATTTTTATGTCTTTGAAGATATGAATAATTAAAAGATTCATGTTGCCTTTCAATTCCATTGTTGGTATAAAGGTTTACTAAAAATCTATCCTGAGGATACCATACCATCTATCCTGACGATACCATATCCATTTCTAGATAAAAATAATAACACTTGTTTTTGCAGATTTACATTGACATGAGTATAAATTAAACTTGTTTTAACCATAAATTAATGCTTTAAAATTTGCAATACTTGTGTTATCTATAGCAAAAAATGTTAAATAATGTTAAATTTGGGATAATAATTATAATATACTCACTTCTTTAATTTGTAACCAATAATTAGTAATATATTTCTTAAATTTTTGAAATTTGTTGTCCAACCAAAAGTTGGAACATTTTAGCTTAACTATTGCTGCATCTGCCATCTTTTTATTTTGTGCCCATGCAATATTTTGTAGCATTGAAATTATTGGGTCTTTAAATTCTGAGCAGTTGTTTGTTTTTTTGACAATCCAGCAATGCCATGCCTGCTCTCTATGGAAATCACATATAAGAACACGGCAACCTAAAAACAATTCTCTATATTTTAAAATAAAATAAAGAAAAAACGAATACAGATGAGTTACACAATGAAAAAAAAAAAGAGTTTCAAGTGAACTAAAAAATGACAACAGGAAACGGTTCAAAACATTCTATTAAATGGTTTACATTATTTATTTTATTTATTACATTATTTACTTTCAAATGTATATTTAAACTGTCATACTATTTATTAACAAATGAAAATTATTAAAAACTTTATTTATACCTGGAAAAACAGCTTCTAATGAATCCATTTCTTCAGTACAATAATCAGTCATGCAAAAGGAAGGTTGAAAGGATGGGTTCCAATCTTTTATTATGTGAAGCGCTTCTGTGATGGCTTGTTTTGTTTTACATTAAATAACAAAACTGGCTACTATTTGGTAGTCAAAATTAGTTTTTACAGTTAAAAAGAAGAGAGGAAGAGAATATCTGGTAGTCCTGTATGTGGCATCAAGTAGCAGTATCTCAGTTCCATAGCGCATGAGGTGTTGTTGCCACTGTGACTGATAAACAAATAAAAATGAACATTTATCACCACCATCTTCGCCACTACAGTTTGGTCTAAGAAACACTTTGACAGACGGATCACATTTTTTCCATTCTTCACATTTTATCAAAAGACATTCTTGGTCAATCATGGAATGCCTTTATAAATAGAAACAACAACATTAATAAAATGAAAGTTTTAAAGATTACTTTAAACATGAATCAAGTAAACATCTAAATTAGTAAAACAAATCATTTCATATGTATAATTTATTTTAAGAAATAATCAACATTTGTGATTTACCGTAACTTTTTTCTAATTTTTACTATATGTGATCTTATGGTTGCAGTGTTGGGATAGAATCTTCTGCTATTTGAAGGAGGAAGATTTTCATTTCCAAAAGTATCTTTTACTGTCAAACGAAGGAGGTGCTTCATTTCCCTTATATTGTATATTCCTTCTAATATATTCTTCAACCTTTTTTGAAATATGAGGATCGATTATTTGAGAAATTAGTTCTACCTAATTTAAAATAATATTTAATATGGTAAATTAATTATTAAACTACAGTACTGTTTTTAACCTTTTTGCAAGTACAAAGTATATACAAAAATTTTATTTTTACCTTTCCAATAGGGTGTTTATCGTGACATGATAAATCATCAATAGCTACAACAACTTTCCGAATAAAAGGTACTTCATTTAAACATGACAATTTTAATTTTTCTTTCAATAGTTTTAATGCTTTTTTTTTGTGCCAAGCTGAATGCTTAGGTATCTAAATTAAAACAATAATACAAAAACAATAAGGACTAAACTGGGTTTAGAGAGAGACTTAGTCAAGAAAGTTGAGCGAGACACCTAAAACTTAATCCTATTTCAATAAAGGCATATTTTTAGAATGATACATCTTTCCACTAACCTTAGGGGACCCTTAAATCCAATTCAGGGCTGCTTCTGGTCACACCACCATACATTACAAAATTAAAAAATGCATGTTACCTATAATTTAGTTACTCAAACCTTGAAATCAGGAAATTGTAATATTTCTCTCATAACTACCCGGTGGGAAATGAGCTAGCGACTAGCAAGCGACTAGCTAGCTTTATAGCGATTTTCAAGCGATTTTTTTTTCTTATTTTATTCTTTACTAATGTCTCTAACATCTTTAAAAATTCGATTTTTAGTGTTGAATCTATTTTAATTATGAGAATAATTGAACTTTAAACATTGCGATTTTGTAGCAATGTGTCGCTAGCTACATATCGTAGCTTTTTAGCTAGCTACAAAATATCTACAAATCTATAGCTGATTGATAGCTACATACCAAAATTTTTTTGATAGCGATTTTATTACGATATAACGGTAGCTACAATAGCCTGTGAGTCTTAAGCTTATTAAGCTAGCTGTCCTCGTAGCCAAATCGCTGTCTTTGTCTTTACAAATATCGATAGCTTTTTGCTAACTTTAAAAAGCTAGCAATCTTCGTGGCCAAATCGCTGTCTTTATCGTAACGATTATAGCTAGCTATTCGCTAGCCGACTTCCCACCGGGTATCTTTGCAGGACACATAAACTTTTTTGTATCTTGTAGAATCACATAATTTTTTTGAAAGCTGTGATCATCCATCTAAAAGAAACAAATTATAAAAGAAGACTTTTATTTAATGGGCACCACTTTTGGAATGTTGTTTATTTGTTTAAAATAGTGATGTTTTTTTTTTTTTTTTTTTTTAAACTCTATTGTATTAGAGAAACAAGAAAAATTTAATTGAGTATGAAAGATAAAAGTGATAACATTACCTTGGCATTTTTTTTATTTTTTTAATAACTATTTTTCGCTGAAATATTCCTATCAAAACCATGGTGACAATCTAAAATTTTGTGACCAACAACCATATGAGGTATGCCTGAATACTGTATGGCATAATCTTCCCATAGAACATGATTTTTTGCAATCATTTCTATAAAAAAATATATATAGTTTTTGGAATGTCACTAAACTTATTAAAAAATTATTTAAAAGCAACACAAACAAATTTATTATTAAAAAGTATATTATTATTATTATTATTATTATTATTATTATTATTATTATTATTATTATATATATATATATATATATTTATTAATTATAAGTTATTATTAAAACCTTATTATTATATACAAGTATTTTATTACTTATATATATTAACAACCTTATAATTATATATAAGTATATTATTACAACCTTAAAAAAACAAAACATATATATATATACATATATATATATATATATATATATATATATATATATATATATATATATATATATACATATATATATATATATATATATATATATATATATATATATATATATATATATATATATATATATATATATATATATATATATATATATATATATATATATATATATATAGTTTACACGTTATTCCAAAGTCCTTGGTTACACTATAGACAACAAATCTTGTTGTAGTTGCTAACTCATATTTTTTCACACAGTTTAATGCTTCTTCATACGAATTACAATGATAAATTAATTTTTTTTTTCCTTCTATAAAAATTAAAATCAAATTGATCAGTATACTTTCAGTGAATATGAAAATAGAGTATAAAAACTATTTTGAATATTTCTTACAACAAAAAAAAAAGGCACACTAAATGATATCACAAACCTTTGTATAAAGTTTTGTGATATCATTAGAAAAAAGTTTAATAAATGTGTTCAAGAACTTTAAATAAAGAACTTTAAATAAAAAATAAGTAAAGATTTTTTTTGGCTTAAAAAAAAGCCTATATTAAAGTACTAGACCTAGCACTTAATGTACTGTCAATTTAACTGTTAACTGCTAGAAAAACTTAGTTTATCCTACAAAAAACTAACTAATTTTAAACTTCAGATAATAATATTAAATCACAAACAATTACAAAAAAAAAATTCTATATGACGACAATTTTTTGTTTTGATTGTTCTTGTGTTGTCCATTTAAATAACATATATATACTACTGACACCATTTTTTCTTTTTTTTTTCCTATAAAAGAAATAAGAAAAAAACTGGCAGTTTTTGTACGGTAACAGTGACTAAAAACATACCATAAACAATATCACGTGTAGGTAAACAATTATTTTCAATGATACTCAAACTTTGTTCATAGACTTCTAAATTAAAAAATATGTTAATAACTATATAATTATTTATTGCATTTATTTTGTTTATAACATTGTTGTAAACAAAAAAAAATGTAATAAATTTTGCATTTATTAAACTGAAAATGTTTATATATTAAGTTACCTTTTATATTTCCGCTTTCTTCATCAGAGCTTATTTCATCAGAACTGCTAAAATTCAAATTTTCGCCATACATAGATAAATCCATAATCTTTGTTTTTGTTTGCTTTAATAATCATTAGTATTTAATATTACGTTTCCTGTAGTAGATTATTCCCACCGCCTGAATTATTCCATCCCCCTATGAAAAACTCAAAACGAGATTGCGCTTTCGGGTTATAACTGTTAGAAGTGTACCTAAAACGTCCGTACTACCTTAGTAAACATAAACAAAGAGAAAAAAACGTTTAGACGACAAGAATTTTAAAAATAAAGTTTACACAAAAGTAATATAAGAAAGATGATATAAGAAAGTGTTGTAATGATAGAAAATAAACAACTATATACTAATTAGTAATTTATTTGCATGAAATTATTTTACAAATACTTTTATTATATAACAGTATATGTCAATGACATAAATATAATACATACAATAATATGATATTATATGTAAAAGTAAAATTCAGACAGATATAAATTATATCTCTCTGAATTAATACCTCTCCTTTATAAATCGCTCAATGTAAGACAGTCTGATCTTTATTACAGTATAATGGTATTGAATGATGTAATAAATAGTGAACAACTATAAACTTTTAGTTATATATTTAATGGAAAATACTTTAAAAAATACATCTTTAAGTTTTAAAATTATTACCTCCCCTTAGTAAATTGTTTAAAGTAAGACGTTGTGGTAATGGCATGAAGTGATAGTAATAGGAATTATGCAACTATATATCAATAAGTTATAAAATCATGTAAAAATGATTACAAGTATAATGTCTGAATCATCACATCCTCCTAAGTAAATCATGCAATACAAAATGTTTGAAACTGGTATTGATTGATTATTATATTTTACTGTAATTGGAAATTTCTAAAGCTTTTGATATTTAACTTGTAGGACTTTTGTTTTACTGTAGGAACATAGAATAAAAGTGTTATGCTTACTTTAATTAGTATAGTTATTAGTCCAATATATCAATATTATTTTAGCCTGATTTAAAGATATTGTGATGTTATATTGGTATTTATTTTTTTTCTAAACTAACGCTTATCAATTTTCTGTTAAGTATGTATGTTTTTAAGTTCTATGTTTGCTATTTCATATGTTCTACAAAAACTAGTATTGATTTTTTTTATATTTTCATTTAAAGAATTAATTTTTATGTGCAAATTAATGAGTATTTCTTTATTTAATAAATTTTTTTTTGTCAATTTGTTTTAGTTCGACGACAAGGTTCTGCTCTACTTCATTTTTTATGTTTAGTTTTACTACTGTTGAAATATGGTTTTAATTTAGTAAATTTTCATGAATTGAAATTTACTTTATTAATCATTAGCCAGCAGTTTAGGTAATAAAATTGAATTCGTCGCCATTAAGGTAAGAATAACTTTGTTTTTTGGTCACACCATTAAGCCAGTGCAATTCTTGAGGGGAGTAAATCATTTGAATCCTTTTTGAAAAAATCAGAATCCATAATGGATGAGTCGGAGCTTCTGGTTGATGAACTTCGGCTAGCAATTAGTATGTTGAAAACAAATAAGAGTGCGGGTCTAGATAAAATTAACCCCAATGTTGTAAAAGCGGTCTCTGATATTATTGAGAAACCTCTTTTTATAATTTTTAATCTTTCCCTAAGAAACGGCATTTTTCCTGACCAACTAAAACTAGCAAAAATAATTCCAATATACAAAAGCGGCGATGATTCGATAAAATCTAACTATAGACCAATTTCCATACTTTCCTGTTTTTCTAAAATACTAGAGCGTATTATGCACAACAGGCTGTACAATTATCTTGAAATTAATAACATTCTTTATCATAAACAGTTTGGTTTTCGCAAAAACCATTCCACGGAGCATGCAGTAATTGATCTTGCGAACCAAATTCTAAATGATTTTGAAAACAATAGTTACACACTCGGGATATTTCTAGATCTATCCAAAGCCTTTGATACTGTCAACCACAAGATTCTTATCAACAAACTATGTAATTACGGAGTAGCCCACTCTAACTTAAAGTGGCTGCAATGTTATTTGGAAAATCGTAAACAAGTAGTACCATTTGATTTAACATACTCCCCATTTGAGTCAATAAGTTGTGGAGTTCCACAAGGATCAATACTTGGACCTTTACTGTTTTTAATTTATATTAATGATATTTATTTGTCATCAAAAATACTTAATTATATTATTTTTGCTGACGACATTAATTATTCTGATTCAAATTTAAAAAATATTTTTTGTAATGTAAACACTGAACTAACATATCTCAATGAATGGTTTATAGCAAATAAACTTTTATTGAATATTGAAAAAACAAAATATATTTCGTTTGCTAAACCATCTAAATCCGAGATTCTTCCACTTACACTACCAGAACTAACTATTAACAATATTAAAATAAAAAGAGTGTTTTCAATGAAAATACTTGGAATAATTTTTGACGAACATTTAAATTGGAAATGCCAAATAAAGCTTGTCGAGAACAAAGTCTCAAAGACTTTAGGGATAATGTATAAGACTATACCTCTTATGAACAAAATATGTTTAAAAAATTTATATTTTTCGTTTATACATAGTTATATTAACTATGTATATTTTTGTTTGTCTGTTTTAATTTTGTTTAAAAAAAAAATATGAGTAGATGAACTTAAATCTATAAAATGTTCGGAATCTTTTTCAATTCAAAATATCTTTTGTATATTTAAATATATATTATGAAGTTTATTGGATTTGTAACGCATATGTACGGATTTGTAAATTATTTTTTCAAACTTTTTTATTTTTTATATTTTCAAACTTTTTAGTTTTGTCAAACTTAAAAATTATTTTTTTAACTTTTTAATTTTTTTCAAACTTTTTAATTTATATTTTAGTCAGCTTGCATTTGTATAAATTTATTTGAATGAAAGGTTAACATTGTAAAATGTGTCAAATGACGAAAAAATAAAAAAATAAAAAAATAAAAAAAAGGCTGTTCGAAGTTCATCCAAGTATATTTCAAATTCATTCATAACTGAGTGTGTTTTTTTTAAAAATGACTTTAACGTTTTGTTTCTCGGAATTATTTTTTAGGCTAAATTTTTACCAACGTTTATAAAGAATTCATTAAAAATATCAGCAATTTTCCCTCTGTCAAAAACATCTGTGTTCATTTTTGTTTGTAAACACTTTGGAAAAAAAGTTTTTATGTTTAATTTCTTTTTTCCAGTTACTTCTTTTATTATATTACATTTTTTCTCGCATTATCTATTGAATTTTCGAGCAGATTGGGGTAAAAGTTTTTTTTTAATTTGTTTTTTTAATTTTTCGAAAGAGTTTTTGTATTTTTTTAATTAAGTTTCATTAATTAAAATTTTATTTTTTTAAAAATTATCGTGGAGCTTTTGCTTCTTTTTTGAAGATTTTTGAAGCCCTTTTGTCATCCAAGGTTTACGCAGGTTTTTAGAATGAATTGTTTATATATATATATATATATATATATATATATATATATATATATATATATATATATATATATATATATATATATATATATATATATATATATATATATATATATATATATATATTTATAATATATATATATTTTTTGTAAATGCAATGCATTTTAGTGAAGCTGCACCGAGCAGTAAACGCCTTAGGAATGAATAATAAGTTAAAAAGAGTTTAGCAGAGTGAGATAAAAGTACAAAAGGACAGATGTCCAGTAGAAAACAAAGAGCCTCAAAGTGGAAAAATATTTAAAACTTATATAAGTAAAATGTAGTATATATATATATATATATATATATATATATATATATATATATATATATATATATATATATATATATATATATATATATATATATATATATATATATATATATATATATATATATATATATATATATATATATATATATATATATATATATATATAGCAGTGGCCATAAGTTTAAATCTTCCACTTTTTTGAAAATATACAACAATTTTTTATTTTAGACTGAAATAAACGTGTTTTTTTAAATTAATATTTATTTTATAAACAATTTATTAAATTTTGTTATTTTGTTGCACCTCCTTTGGCTTTTGTTACCTCTACCATTCTTTGCTTCATAACACGCTTCAATTATATTTTTTTAAATTTAGGCGCCCTTTACACAAATACGTTTCCCCCTAGTCTTTCTGCAGCTATACAACTCCAAATTATTAAATTACCTCCATCAAATTTAACAGTAGGCACTATGCTTCATCAGGTCTTCTTCTCACATACGTTACGCCAGGAATTCCAAAAATCTGTAAAAAAAAATCCAAAACATCAAGTTTTGGTGACATCAAGTGATATTATTTGGTCTTCTCGAGCTGTAGTTTTATTTTTTCTTCCAGTTTGATGCCTACTTTTTTAAGACTTCTGAAAGTTCTGTTCTGTTTTAAAGTTAGTTGCACTGCACCACGGGAACATTCAGTATTTTTGCAATGTTTTGCTAACTTTCTTCTTGCAAATGCAAGTCACGTTAGTAGAATCAGAGTGATTTTCCCATTCTCAAATGCGTTTTCTACCAATTTAGGCAAAAAAAAACAAACGAATTGTAAGAGAAACAATGCCAAAATCTTTTAAGAAAAAATAAAAATTAACAATGGTATTTTTAGATAGCACTTAACTATTTATTAAAATGCCTAGATATTTTCGAATCCAGTCTGCAATTATTTTCCAATTATGTCATAAAAATACAGGAAAAGAGTTAATGGGAATAGCACTAAATTGATCCTTAACTTTTGTTAAACATTTTATTAAACTACCATGGTAGTTTGATAAAATGTGGTATACCACTCTTAAATCAAAAATTTCAACTAAGTCTAGTCTTGAAGATAAAAACTGAATTAAAAAAATTGTCTTCAAGATAAAAACTAAATTAGAAAAATTGCTGCTGTTTGTATTAATATAAAAAGAGCAATACAGCAAATAAAGAAATATCACATTTAGAAAAACTTTTTTTAGATAAATAAATATATTTTTATATCTTTGAACATAAAATCTTTTTAAAATTTCTGCCCCCACCTCTCCTGCTGCCCCAAACGTGAGAGCAACAAGTTGATAAAATCTTTCTTTTACTATTCTAACTAGATTTATATTTAATGATAAGTTTTAAATTTTATAGTAAAATATTTTACGGTTCAAAAATTATGACAGTATAAAGTTTAAACCCCCCAAGTTGTTGCTTACTCAGA